ATATTATATTGTTTTTTATGAAACTGCAGAAGAAGCTGAAAAATGTTTGAGTCTAATTTGAGCTGACATTTTCTGAAAGCAGAAAAAAATTGATAATGAAAAATCAGTAAAAGAGCAGAAATGTAGCAGAAACAAGTTGGATTTACAGACAGTAAAAGGACAATAAAAAAGCTTACACTAGCAAAAATAATAATAATACTAATAATAAGTACAACAAGCTGAAAATAGCTAAAAAAAATAGCTTAAAAATCTGAAATTACAAAACCGAAAAAAAAACAGAAAGAGCAAATGTTTGCTGAATTAAAGCTGAAATTATCGCAAAAAGTTGATAGAAAAGGCTAAAATTTACTAACACCAGTTAAACAGCATAAAGCAACTTAAATTAGCATAAAGCACAAAAWATTAAAAATCAGCAGACGAATAGCAGATAGGAGCAGAACGGTTGATGAAAAAGCGAAGAAAAAATAACTATTAAAAAGAAGCCTAAGGAAGCTTAAATTAGCACAAAAAAAGCAGAATTAGAGTAAAAAGTAAAAACTGCAGTAAAGTTCCTAAACATTTTAAAAGATTTTAAGGTTGTTGTGGACAGCTTCATTCATTCTTAGAAAAAAAAAATCCAAAACGATAAATACTGTAGATGGAAAAGCACAAGTTGCTCAAATACCAAAAGCCACAGGATCATGACAGTAATGAGCTGAACGTTTTGATAAAAGTGGAAACAGGACAAATGACAGAACAAGCTACGTGTGCTGAAAAACGTACGGAAGAAAAATGGGAAAAAATAAAAAAAAAGCAATTGGGTTTTTATGAATAACCAGTTATTCTTTTAATTTGGTTGTCAAAGGTTTTTTTCCTTCATGTTTTATTGTTGTGAACAAGAAACACTGCTGTGTCAACAGCATAAAGTTCAAGCAATGGTTTTCAGTCCAACAAACTGCATTTGAAACTATTTCAGCTGTAAACTGAGTGCTGCATTTTGGGATTAGCTGCACCACTTAGTCTAATCCAGCACAAAGTACAGTTTTAGAAGTAAGATAAATAGCTGACCTTTGCTCAGTGGTGACATAYGATACAGAAACTCTCAACTAGAAACCAGTGTAGTCTATAAGAAGTCTGACAAGTACAGCTGTAGTTCTGAAAACAAAGGAGGCAAGTCATCCACAGATAACCAGTCTGTGGTGGACTGAGTTCTGCTCTCATGGGCCACTGACTGAGAATGTGCATTGCAGSAGAATCTAAAATTAGCTTTTCTAATGACACCATGCAGAAATGTGTGTAAACTAAAGACAGAACCAGATATACTTCAGACTGCCTAATACTTAACCTGAGTTTTCAGGTTTCTGCACATCTGCAGGTGTGAGGTCGAAACCAAACAAGACAGAAACATCTAAAGCTCATTGTCACTTTGAATGATTTGTTTTGGAATTTGTTATTTAAAAAAAGCAAAAAATAAATAAAAATATCTAATCAAATTAAAAAGCACAAATGAGAGTATGATGAATAGAAAAAAAACACTAAATTTTATTACTTGTATCACTGAAAGTTTTACAGTAACAACTTTTGGCCACTAGATGGCAGCCAATAAATACGTGCCAAAATGTTTTTTTTTTATGTTGTAGCACAAACTAGCTTCTATTATCAATTTTACAAAGAAAGTTAACACCATCATATCTCTGAGATAAATTACAAAGATACAGTATGTTAAACCAAGCCTGAATGTTATTGTGATAACAACCTTAACTGACTGGTTGCTCCAATTCAAAATGATCTCAGGTAAATGCCAGTTWTCCAGTCACATCCTTCAAGGAGCAGGTATAGATGAATTTTGTTTGTATATAGTATATAAAAACACACTAATAGGTATATCACATCCCCGTCCCACCAAGATACACAATGCCTAGTGCAGTGTAAGCAGTTGGGTGAGCAGAGAGCCGGGACTGTGGTGTGTAGAAAATGCTAGTGGAGGCAGACAATGCAGCAGACCGAGGCCTGACCAGCCCTCAGAGGGACAGGGGTCGCCTCACTGCGCCAGCAGCCCCCGTCTCCCTCCCTTCTTTCTCTTTCTGCGASCTGCCACAGGATGGGCTCGGGGAGCACGCTGAAGTTTGCCCTCTGTGAGGTGCTACAGTTTGCAGGCCTGTGTGTGCCGCTCTTCATCGTAATGCAGAGATTTGCCGTCATCGTAGCAAAGATGAAAACATCTGCGCGGCCCCCCGGCGATGCCAGCATGGCCTACTGGCTGATCGTGGCCGCCTCCGTTGCCTACGTCACCTCTACTGCCCTGKTGATCTGGGTACCCCTGAAGTATATGGTCTTTGTGAAGAAGAAGTTCCTCGTTGGGAGGAAGAAATGGTAAGTTTCAGTGGAGTCAGCACTGATAGGCCATCAGCTGAGATCCCAGTGCAGCTCTGACTAAGACCTGACCAGCTGGTGGAAGTCTGAACCGGTTCTGTGGCTGGTTCAGATAACACTTGGCTGATAAATATTGAACTAGCAAGTCCTGAACCTGCCCTTGTCCTCCTTCCTTACTTTTTGTTGATTTTCTTCTCATTTGTCCTCACATCAGGAGACCTGTGGCCCTCGTWTATGTGATCCTGTCCACATTACCCTGCTTTGCCTTTCTCATTGCCAGCTCTGAGGTATAACAAGCAGTAGGTCATTTGTMATTTTAATTATTCAGTTTGCTTTATCAGTTTTACCCTTAATGTCGCCATGCATTTTTGTTACCAAGCAGATAATCTTTAGGTAATTATGGACGTATTTTTTCCCTCTCTAAATAAGTAAAAAAAAAAAGTCTTAAGAAACGTAAATGTTGGCACATTTTGTTGGTGAGTAGAATCAGTTTGAACCCTTTGAAAGTGGATCAAACATGATGATTTGTGAGAATCCTCTTGGTTCTCAAGGGAACCTAAAGGATAAGAAGTTACTGATAAGCAGCTTGGTTCTGCTTCCTGCCTGTGCTGTCAAATCATCTGTCCACGAGGCACATTTTCACTTCCTCGTTGGCTGCAGCCCAGGCTCTGTCTGCGTTTTTATGTAGTTTTCTCCAAAGTCTGATCTGACCTGTTGGCTCTTTCTTATCTGTTGTCTTGTCCAAAAGAATCACAAATTCTGCTAAGGTGACCAACTTGCCCTCTTGGTTCTGTGTCCTGTTGGTGCGAAGCACTGACTCAAGCAAATACCAGAGCTGCAGGGATATAATGTAGCACGCAGAGTTTATTACGTTTAAGTTTATGTGGTGTGTTCAGGTTACATATTATACATGTTCTCTTATCGTTTGTCCAGGTCCAAATAAACAACAACATAAAACACGATACATTCACGGAGCTCCCTGTGTCATTAGTCTTTTTCTCGTTAATCTGCATTGATGTAGTAGAGAGGATCCGCCACTGCAGACTGACTGGACAGGGTGAGCTGAACCACTAACATGATGTTCCACAAATTAATCACTGTCAGCTATGCATCTTGAACTTTTCTCTTCTATTTTACGCAGTTACAAGAAGTGCAATAGTTGGGAGAGAACACTGAACAAGATTTATTAAGAACATTGTAGAACCCCAGTTGTGTTTTGGTTTTAGTTTTGCAGTTCAAAAATAGTATAACAACTAAGGAAATTAAGCAGGATTTAAAAAAGTTAAAGCTAAATTCAGTTCTCCAAAATCAAATCTTTCACTTCTTTAAGAACAACCACAGTGTTCCTTAGAAGAATGCCACTAAGACATTTATTTTGGGAAACTGGTTGTATTAGGTTTCTTTTGTGGGTAACTAAAGAGCTGCAATTTAAACAACTTTCCAACTTATCTTTGCAGATTTAAAATGACATATTTCCTTGCATGCAACAGTGTCTCACCAAGTCAGGATCTCATTTAATGTCTTGTTTTGTTTATTTATTTATTTATTTTGCATTGGGTTGGACGTTTTCAGTCGGGGATGTGTCTTGATTGCAGGCCAGACAAAAATCCATAATTTGGAATGAAATCATATATTTTCATTCAAAAATAAGCAACATCTTCCTTGAAGAAAACAATATTAGCACTACATTTTGCTATGATAGCTGCATTTATAGTTTACAGATATGGAGGCTACATGTGCAGCAGTGCCTTAATGTTTAGATGGACATAAATAATCGGAATAAACGGCAAATTAGAATAAAAATACGACATGGAAATGTCCTAATCGAAATGTTCTGTTCTGATTCAGCTCAGTTGGGATGAATTTGTTATGCTGATTGATAATCTGAATGGCGTGCATGTATATTCCTGCCTGACGTATTTTCGACTGGCTAAATGCTAAAATGTGGACAAGAAAATTGGTTGGTTTCACATGGAAAGTGTACAACACAGTACGTTAGTCCTTCTGTTTTGAGGAAAAGCCTGGTGCATGTAAATGCTACTCATGATCACATACTGTACATGTCAGCTTGCACAGATTGTTCTTAAATTACACAGATCTCCCCCCATTTTGCATGTACATGGACGTACAGTCAAATCTCACTTTTTTTTCAAAAACTCAGCTTCAAATTTGTTTAACGTCAAAGAGCCTGTAGAATGTAAAAAACAATCAAGTTAAATAACTGTCTTCTCCTAACCTGCTCTGCTGCTAGAAATAAGCTCCCCACCACTTCCTGTCCTCCTTTCCCTGCTCCTCTGCACTGCAGGTGCCCGTATCTCTACCTTCTTTCCCCCTGGCAAATTAGTACATTGGATTTGTTTGTGAAAATTAGATTTTTGAGGGTCATGATACAGGTAAATGCCCAAAGTGGTTGACACACAGTATGTGATCATGTAATTAATTTTGTGTCCAAAAAATGGTACATTCAGATTATTAATCTGAATACTTTTCAATCCAATCAAAGTATTTTGCCCATGTAAACATGGCTCATGTATCACCGGGCTTTTGGTTTCATAAAAAAAAAAATCAAATCAAATGTATTTCTATCAACCATTTAAAAACAATGGTTGTTGGCCAAAATGCTGCAAGAATGCTACAGAATACAACAATAGTTGAAAAGACAAGACTGATAGTCCTTCTCCTCTTTGGTGTGAGCAATGTGTTTGTAATTTCTATAAAAAACTTGGTACTTTAAAAATAAACTTAAGATATAGTCATATGTAAAATATCAAATTTGCTTGTCTTTTAACACTTTGTCTTTCCATTACTCTCTTCAGCAAATAACGTGGAAAGAGCTACAGAGATTCCTTCTACTGTCCTCACTCATGTAGAACAGATAACACCAGTCACTCCCATCAATCCAACTGTACCTGGACCAGCTGTGTCCGGGCAAGGTGTGCTTGGACAAGGTCTGCCTGGACAAGGTGTGCCCACTCCCCTGCAGCCTGGAGCAAACCCGCTCAATGACAGGAACCAGAATGGACCAGGAGCTCGACCAGAAACCAACGGAACAGTCCCTGGGATACCAGCGACCCCTGGCAGGCCTTTTGATGTTGGGCTGAGTGCACCATCAGCGAGCACTACAGCGTATCATATATCTCCGTACACCTGCACGGGCCCTTTGAGGTTCCTGTGTGTCAGCGACGCCCGGGCGGACGTGTTTGCAGACAGCTTCATGTTCTGGATGGATACAGTGGAGATGGTGAGGGTGGCGGGACATCCCCTGGTCTACTACTCAGGCTGGGTTTTTCCCATCTACATCTTCAGCTACGTGTCCTGCCTTCGTGTGGTGGTCATGCCCAACACACCTCTGTTGTCCTCTCTGGGCGTGGCATTACAGGACTTGCCCTTCTTTTTTGTACGCATTGGTCTAATTGCCCTCTTTGGTTTCGTCACACCGATCCTCTTCCTGATGAAAAACCTATTGGTCTGTCTGGCCTTTGTCTATTTCAACTTCATGACCAAACTGAGGGTCTTCAACACAGAGAGGATGTTCTTTTGAGACCAAATGCTGCAAGGACAAGTAGTGCAACACCGAAAGAGATGCTGGGACACAAGAAATGCAGCTTGATGGAATTCAGCAGGTGGCTGTACCAGCTTTTCATGAGTTTGAACTTAGTATTGATTGTAAGAACAGAAAAACAAATAAAACAGAATGCACTTAAACTAGTTGTTACAGAAAGAGTTACAACTAAATGTTTACACCTGATAACTGCCAGAATTGAACCTTATTTCAAACTGACTATGTAACAAGCTACTCACAACAGGTAAGATTGTTATTGTTCAAAATGTTTCAACAAAACTTTACATCAAAAGATCCAAACTATTCCATTAAAGTTTTCTCAAATAAAGATATTAAAATATTTTACAACAGCATACAAAAGAATGGTATACAATAAAACTAATAAAAACAGACAAAATATTTAAAATGAATTAACCTTAAGATTGAAATATAATGCAATATTACATTATATTTCAATCATGGTCTAGCATGAAATAGATTTACATAGTAATGCATACTAAAATCTTATTTGTTAAATAAGAAAATCTGAATGGCAATTATATATATTTTTTTTTAATAAGTGTTGTTACATTCTGTTTACTTAGATTATATTTTTAATTGGTCCATGCCATGCAAAATTAAAACTTTAACTGATCTGAACATATTCAGAAAGTCATTCATGRTATAATCATTTACTCTAAAATATTTTAGAATAAAAATTTCACTTCTCACAGGCCAAATGGGAGCTCAAAGGCAACAGAACATTTGTGTTAAATTTATTATGTTTTGTTACTTAAATGTTTAAACATATTTTTGCACCCCTCGCCCTCAACAAGAATGGCACTTTGTAAATGTATTTGTGACGTCACTTGAAAAWCAACTGAATATTTTTCTACCATTATAAGATGCAGTGAACATAAATTTATTGTTTGTGAGATTTTATTTTTGCTAAGTTAAGACACATAAGAACAAATTATGAATTTGTATGAATGTTATGTTTATTTTGGTAATAAATGAAGAAGCTTTTAAAATATCTGACTTGCCATTTGTCATTTTGTGCACAGAAATTTCAGCTGGTGCAACAAAACACTCCATGAGTAGAGTTTATTCTCTGCTCAGCTCATTTTCTGACTCTAATTTAGATTCTTTGAAGGGCAAGTGGGAGACGGACTTAAAGGAATCCATATCAGACACAGTTTGGCAAAAAAAATTTCAAAATATATATTCGTCCTCAATATGTGTGAAACATGTTATAGTTCAATTCAAGGTAGTACATCGTCTACACTGGTCTAAGGACAGATTGTGCAACTTCAAAAAGGACTTGGATCCGTCGTGTGATCACTGCAGACAATCTCCAGCCGCACTTCTACGCACATTCTGGTCCTGTCCAAAGCTACATGGATATTGGCAAGGCATCTTTGATATCTTTTCAGGACTATTTGGATCAACTGTTCATCCTTCAATAACCATGCCATGTTCAAAGTCACTTAAATCACCTTTCTTCCCCATTTTGATGCTTGGTTTGAACTGCAGCAGATCGTATTGGTCATGTCTACATGCCTAAATGCATTGAGCTGCTGCCATGTGATTGGCTGATTCGGCATTTGCTTTAATGAGCAGTTGGACAGGTGTACCTAATAAAGTGGCTGGTGAGTGTCATCTTTAAAATGTGGTTAAAAATAAATACAGTTTTCTTCATTGAGGTTTAAAATGACAAAGTCACATCTGTGTTGTCTTTGTTTCACCAGCTGCCTCATTTCATGTGACTCTCTGATGACTTTAAGAAAAATCTGTCAGTGGCAGATTTTCTGTTTGGAGTGTGTGTGTGTGTGTGTGTG